TCTCTCTCTCTCTCTCTCTCTCTCTCTCTCTCTCTCTTCCTATCTGCACATAGTTTGGCCAGATGTACATCTGTTTACTGGTAAACACATTCAGTCTCTTCACTATGTGAATGAAGCTTTAGTTTATTTTGAGAACAAATGATTAGAGATCAGTTTGTTTATTTCATAGTATACACACCTGTTGTGTTCTTGAAATTCTGACTCATTGCTTGGCTTATTTGTGAAACCCTCTCCTGCAATTTTGGGTTTTTTTGCAATTTATAGATTTTTTTTTTCTCTTGTAAACAGCCAAACATTATATTCTGAACCTGATTTATTTCACCAAGGACACACAAGGCTACAGATTAGTAAAAATCACAACCCAACACCAAAATATTAAAAAAAAAAATAATAATAATAAAGAAAAACCCCTAAGCATCAGACCAAGTGACATTCAACTCCCCCCAACTTTCTTTACCCACACCCAACGCTTCCCAAACGGCCGACGAGCCATCGACAATATTATTCGCGCACGGCGGCTGGTAATCATGCTCCGCATCACATCCCACCATAGAGTCGCACTCATCCACCACCTTTGCCAGCACGCTTTTCCCGTTTCCGCTTATTTTCACCTTTTTTCCGCACCGGGACCCACCATTGTACCAGCCTGTCGACAGCGCGACTATCTTACTGCTATCGTTGTGGTACTTTCCGTCGCATTCCGAGGGCCCACCTCCATCACCGCCCTTCCGGAAGCTGTTGAGTGTGAGCACGGCTTTCGTGAACTTTGAGACGGGTGGGGAGCAGTTGTAGGTGGGGTAGTGCTCGCCAGCCTGGCAGCAGACGGACTGGTTTTCGGTGTTGCATTGGCCTTTCGGTGGGTTGCTGCCCGTTAGATTGGCGCTTGGCTTGCAGTATTCGAGGTTGGCTTTACATGAGTGAAGGGAAAGGATGAGTAGTAAGATGTGAAGGGACTGTTCTGTGAGGATTTTCATGTTTTTGGGTAAAGAAAATTGATGGGCATGAAAAATGAGTGTGAAGCAATTTGTTTATATAGACTAAGTTTTGTATTTTTTACATATTGCTGCATATATAAATGTGTGAATAAAGTTTGGAGGAATTTTTGTAGGTGAAGAGTGGAAAGTTCAGTGTAGTTTTGCAGATAGTAAGGGATATTATGAAGACTTTCTTGATGTGGTGACTGGTGAGAAATTTTAAACTAGTAATAACTTTTGAATACATTAGTTTTATAGAATGACTTCATTTTTTTTTGTCAAAAAGGTGATCTTCTTGTTTGTTCCCCACACATTTTTCAATGATCATTCTAAATTTCAAACATAACAAAATCCAAAGTAGTTCACATTTCTATACAATTCAAAAATCTGCAGGAAATATCAGCAGGAAATAAAAATTGGTTCTGCTACGCCTCATGCTCCATTAATGGGGATGCTCGTTGAGAACGGATATCAGCCGGAAAAAAATTGGTTCTGCTACGCCTCATGCTCCATTAATGGGAATCAGCATCGGTCATGTACTCAACGACCTCCTTCCAAAGAGGGGGCTCGGCTCGTGCCAAACGGGCCCCGACTATAGCCACAGTCTGGTGACGCAGAATGTCGAGCTAGGCAATGGTCAGAGGCATTTTGTAGTGCATTTTCGGGAGGAGAGGCCTCGAGTGGTTTCTGCAAGCTAAACCATCAAGATTGCACGGCTCGATCGTCCGCCCGCCACTCCACGGTGGACAACACAGACTTTATCCGGGCCCATACAGTTCTCCACCACGAGCATGAGGTTGTTAAACGGCTCGGGCCGCTCGGCAACAACGAACATCAGGTCCTCGTTCCACAAGGCCTTTCCCCTTTGAGACAAAACGGGCCTCGTTTTCAGGATTTGGTTCCCGATTCGGGCTTGGACATGCGTGTTCGTGAGTCGGTTCCTCTCGGCTGATACCAAGTCCTGAGCCTCGATCACGTTCAACCGCACGTACCACAGCCTTGTTATTTTCCTAGTTTTTATCTATCTCTAGTCTACTCCATGATAACTGAATTGTGATAATTGCTTAACCAATGATGTGTAATAGTAGACTTACTATATTGATTTTATTTACTATTTGATTCGTTTCTTATATATATGAACCCACTCAATTTCAGTATTATAATCTTCATCGCTGAGTATGTAACTGATCAAATATAATACTCTAAACGTCCGAAATATTATAATATGTGTATACATTATTAATTCAATTATCAAAATTGTAAAATTGTAAGCACCCTTTATTTATCAAAAACTCATCTTCTACCACATATATGAAGGCACAATGAAGATAGAATAACAATACAATTCCAATCACTTTCTTTAGTACATACCTCAGGAAAAATAGATAAGAGTCGACTCGCTTAACGTCGACCATTGGATTTGGATCAGCGACTGGGATGTGTTGCATCCTATCCATCCAAATTTTCGATGGAAAATCACTAAGATGATTTGCCATATTTAGATGGTAATCAGTTACCATCAAGATTTGGCATCATATATCCAATGCCAAACTAAAGCATGTGATGATACTGATTATCCACAAAGATAAACTAAAAAGAAGCCAAAAATAATTTAGACCAATATGCACCCCTCCAAATCACCAAAGAATCACAACTCTTGCATGAGGCGGTCTAACCATTAGGCGGGAAGACTCGTCATACTATTTTTAACAAAAAATGCATACTTATACTATGAAATGACATCCTTTTGTTTATGGTGTTTTTCATAGTATGGTCATTTCAGCTTGAAAGTATGCATATCTATTGAAAAAGTATGATTGCCTTCTGCCTAACCGTTAGTATTTAGGCCTACTACCTAACAGTTGCCGAAGAATACCTTCTAACTTACATAAACTGCCTCGTTGCTCTACATCATAATACTATTAACAATTAATCCGACCGGTAACTTTGTTACATTGATTCCAGTTTCATAAGAAAGCATTCAACTTCTTCAGGGCCGTCTTCTTTCATCTAAAAATGCATAAAACAAAGCGAAAAAAAATCACCATGAAAGCAAATGTGGACTATGAAAGAGACAGTAAAATGAACATGGAGAAAGAAGAAAACTTACAAAGTGAGGATAGCCCATGGAAAAGCTACAACTTTCAAGGGCACTCTCTACACATAAGTTTATGTAGTAAAGAACGTAGAATCCACATTCGGTATCACTTTTCTGTTGTGGCACCTGGAATCAATTATCTTTTTAAGTGTATATTACAAAAAGAAAAAATAGATTTATGACATAAAAAAAAAAAAAGAAAGAAAGAACAAAGAGAATTCAGCTTCTTCTTTAAATGAGATCTTTCGAAAAAACAAAAAACAATAAAAACAAAAAGAAAAAGGCACTTTTACAGCCAATTCGTCAAACCCTCTATTTCTAACAAATCAATATTCAGAGAAATCTGATGTCTTTGCAAACACTCCACAAGAATTGTCACCTTAGGAATTCTAAGAGGAATTTTATTGACTGCGCTTTTCTTCTCCGGTCGTTCTTCTGCATTAAATATGTCGAAGACAAACCTAGTGACACAGAAATAATGACGAACAAGGTTAGAAGTTATTATAAGCTGCAATCCCATAAAATACCTTCCTGCTGACCATTAAAAGTCAAGTAAAAGCAAGAAAAGGCTATATTATTAAGTGCTCATCTCACAGAACACCTTCTTATCCCAGGTTCTAACTTCTTAGCATTGGCCTCTTTCAGTGAATCTAGCAACAGCATGCAACGACTTTTGGTGTTTGCCTCTGGACTTTCACCAAAATTACAAAGGATCAAAAGAAACCAGTGACCCCTAACAAAATGGAACCCCAATCAGTGAACAAAAAACAATCATGAATATGATCATAATGATACTTGGTGTTGTATTAAAAACCATAGTGCCGCATACCACTGTACGATTGGAACAAAAACATATTTCTTTGAAAATATATCTTTCTTCTTGATCCAACTCAACACCTTTTCTTTACAAGCTCCTTTTGAGTACAAGGAAAACCACAAGGAATCGAGATAAGTAAACGAGTTCTTTTTCTCTTCCGTATAACATCTCCACATATTCCTGCATTATATGAAACGAAAGGTCAACAATGATATAGAATAAAAGAAATATTACTTATTTGTAAAAATTAATATGATATATCTTACTCTAAGTAGACTTCAAACTTTCCCGAGTCTAACTTTCCCCTCTTCTGAGTTCCTGTAGCCATATGTTGTTGCCTAGTTGATCGTCTAAGATAACGTGACTTACATTCAGAAGAAGAATCATAAATACTAGGATCTGCCTCTCGTTTACTTGTCATATTCCGAGGCGAATGTTTGTCAATGTGGCATTGAATTTGGCTCTTGTTGACTAGGCTTCCTACTTGAGTTCCTGTGTGAAAATGCATAATTGGGATTATAATAATTGGTGCCATTGAAAGATGTGATTGCCAGCTTTTTGATTTGTCAAACGAATAACTTTTTGTGCTTTCAAATGTAAACTTCAGGTTGTGATTTTTACAAACAAAGAATCTTTTACAACTCATTTAACACATACTTCCTATTAACTATTTCAAATGTTAGCTTCTATTCATATGCTGATTATTCTTTGCTTCTGCTATGATACATCACTTTCTGTAATAGAACATAATGCATATGAGCACAGCGTAGATTCTAAATCGGAAAATTAGCCGCCAAAACAATGTTCATATAAGATCTGGGCCACAAGACAAAAACAGTCCGATCATCATAATGCACAAGATTGCTTACGCCCAAAAGACGAAAATGGTTTGATCCTACCGAAAAACGTTGACCAATAACTAAAGCCATGAGAAAAGAAAAATAATAACGATTGCATCAATGTAGCATGAAGGTAGCTATGAAAGACTATGGTGAAACATACTTACCATCTAATAAACCCCACATCTTTTGCCTCCGAACTCTACCTTTTGACCTATGGCCACGAGGAAACCCAGGTAAATAGGAAACTAGATCACAGCATTTTCCGCATTTAACCGAACGGCTGCTAGCCCAATTCGGGTTTGCATAAAAGAAGTCCTTCAGAAGCTCAAATCTCCCAAGACCTGTCTCGAAAAATAACTCTCAACTGTTATACTCTGACCAAACCCAGCCACAACAAATAATGCAATTTATCAAAGACAGTCCAACATGTCTACCTGCAATTATATATCACATAAAACATTTGAACTAAATAGGCACATGTGCAATAAGAAAAAAGAACTCTAGTTCAGCACAAACCCTTTCACGACGAGGTAATTTTGTTCGTGTATGTAAATAGCAACAAAAAAATATCCAAAGCTCCGAACTTTATCCCTAAAGTGGTGACAAACGATCAACAAAAACAACAAAAGGGGATAAAAAAAGCAGTAATCTTTTAAAGCAGCACACTAGTGTACAAACGACTGCTCACTTGAAGAGCGGGAAACGGCGCCGCCGGGACGATCGGTGGCAAGTCCGAGCGGCTTCCGATTCGCCATTTCTCCGGCGGGGACAGCAAAAAGCAGCAGTCTTTACTCAAATTTGGGCAAGCAAAAAATCACCGTAGTCCTTCACATTCTTCTCTAGTCACCTACAGTCTCGGTATGTAATCATCGACTTGGCAAGAATTATCATGGGATGTGCGTAATTATACTCTGCTTTTTTATTTGGCTAATTTACATACATATAGGACTGGTTGTTAAATAATTACAACCCTACTACATGAAAATTTTATTTGCATATCTACGAAATTTACTATAGACACGGCACATCTCTTTCTCTTTCCTCTCCCTTTAATTTTTTTCTTCTCCCCTAATTCTTCTCTCGTTTCTCTTTCTCTTTCCTCTCTCTTTAATTTTTTTTTTCTTCCCCGATATCTTTCCCCTTTCCTCTCTTTAATTTTTTTCTTCTTCCCCAATTTCTTCCCCGATTTCTTTTTCTTCTGACTCTCTTTAATATATACTGAATATATAGTCATTATATACAGAGACATACACATACATAAATAAACCAATATATCATTATATACGTAACAAATTATATACAAAATATATACTAAATATATAGTCATTATATACAGATAGATACACATACAAAAATAAAAAAAAATATATCATTATATACAAAACACATTATATACAAAATATATACTGAATATATATTCATTATATACAGAGACATACATATACAAAAATAAACCAACATATCATTATTATATACAAGATATATACATAATATATACTAAAAAAGTAAAATACATTACACATCAATGAGTTGTTGGGTTTGGCCACAACACCAGATCCAAGCGTCGGGTTGTCACATGTGACTTGGCCGCCCTCGATCGAAATTCGCCAGCCCGCTTGTCTGCCTCTCCGTTGATGGTTGTCTCCTGTGTCGGGTTGTCACAGTGGCTTGCACCTGATGCTCGGAGTTGCAATCGCTTGCTGCTCTCTATTACCGCCCACCAATTATTACCTTCTTGAGCCGACGGTCGTAGTCATTGTCAAACTTGGAGTTACACGGGGAGGATTTTTGGGAGAGGGACAAATTAGAGAAGCATGAGGAGAAATTAGAAAAAAAAGAGAGATTTTAGAGTAGAAAGGGAAACTAATCATCTGAGGAGAAAAAGTGTGGAGAAGAGGAAGATGAGAAGAAATTAATTGTGGTAGGTGTGGTGAGTGTCTGGGAAAACGAGAAATAAGGGGGAGAATAAGAGAATAAGAAAGGAGAAAAAGTAATTAATGTATGTGTAACAATCGTATATGTACAAATATTTAGGTTATCTGATCTCCTTTTGCTAATAAAATATTTTGTTCGTAGATATATAATATTTTATGATTAAGTTAGTATGTAGGGTAATTATCTCTTTTTATTTTTCCAAGATTATTTAACACACAGTTCCTTCACAAGTTGGGCTGGATATTGGTGTGGGTAGACCCTTTTAAGTTGAGAATTTGGACTGAGTTGGGCTTGGTCCAAATATACTTTTTTTTTTAAAAAAAGCTCGGCCCAAAACCAGTGTTCTGAAAATTGGACAACTTATGCTGTGCTTCCTTACCCACGGTGGGCACATGTTATTATGTCTTATGTGGCATACACACATTGATGATGTATTTTTTATAACGTCACCAATGTGTGCGTGCCACATAAGCAGTGGACATATTAACATGTGTCCATCGTGAGTAAGGAGAGCACTCTGGGTGTCTCAAATTTAATTTACGTAGTCCTTCTAAATGCTCGAGAAACTAGGAGACAGTCGTATTATTTATGTTACATTTTTAAAAATTATTTTTAAATTATAGTAAAAATCAAATATGATTTTTTTTTTTACTTGGAGTATCAAGTAATTATAAAATTTAAAGATCAATATTCATGTTAAAATTAATATAATATTTATGAATATATTAGATTTTAAAAATCTTTGTATTGAACTGAATTGAATTAAAATGTGAGGCAGGCCTACACTTTTTTTTTTTTCTTATTTATATTTATTTTTTTTATTCATTTTCCAATGCTTATTTTTGGGCTATAAAGTATAAACACCCTACAATTCCTCTCAACCTTTGAATATTTCTTTCTTCTTCTACTCCAATGCCCCACCAAAAATCCAGGATCCTTTACACCATTTTTTTTT